GTAAAGGCAATTCAACAGCTTGCTTCATTAGGCTACCAGGGAATTCATGAGCTCTGGAAATTAAATTCTTAGAATAAACACTATTTGGTAAATTACAAACCTAAAGTTTATAGAAAAATCAAGCGCTCTTCAAAATCCCTTTGTGATAAGCCTTTAGCAATGCAGAGAAAATAAGATGGAGAGTTGCCTTGTTTATGGTAAATTCTAACAGGCACAGAAGTGGATGTGTGATTCAGGAGAACTTGCCCCAGCTTCTTGCAATCCTTTAACTACATTCATGCCTGGGCATGTCTTTCCTAACACCTGCCCTTTAAATCCCTCACTTTGCATTGCCATTGGACTTTCAGATTCCCTCCTTATCTGTGACCTCATTATTTAAGGATATGACTTTTGGCTAACCTTTGGCCTGGGGGTCAGCAGTTAAGCTGTCCATTCTCCTAGACCCCTTTCATCTTTTGCCTTTTTAGGGACAAAGCCAGTCGTGCATAACATACTTACTTTGGCCATCTCAAACCATTCTTAGGTGATGAAACCTCATAAGGCAGGTGCTGCAAGGGGTATCCTTGAATGGAAATTATGAGACTCAAATTGGAAGGAGAGCGTTAGACTTGGCGTTTCTCAGAAAAATCAAGCCTGTTCAAGTTTCATTTCAATGTCATCTTTTAGGGGAAGCTAAAAGAGTTTTTTTGTTTGTTTTTTTGAGACAGAGTTTCACTTTGTCACCCGAGGTACACTGACATAATCCTGCAGTGTAGCTTTGAGCTCCTGGGTTCAAGCTATTCTCCCACCTCAGCCTCCCAAGTAGCTGGGACTACAGTCATGCACCACCATGCCTAATTTTTTGTGTGTGCAGAGATGAGGTCTCATTATATTGCCCAGGCTGGTCTTGAACTCCCGTGACCAAGTGATTTTCCCACCTAGGCTTCCCAAAGTGCTGGGATTATAGGTGACAGCCACCATGCCTGGTCTAAAATAGTATTCTGAGCCGGGCTTGGTGACTCAGCCTGTAATCCCCTGCCTTGGGAGGCCGAGGTGAGTGGATTGCCTGAGCCCGTGGGTTCGAGACCCACCTGGGCAACTTGGCAAGACCTCATCTCTACAATAAATCAAAAAATTAGCTGGGCGTGGTAGCGCGCACCTGTTGTTCCAGCTACTTGGAAAGCTGAGGCAGAAGGATTGCCAGAGCCCAGCAGGTTGAGGCTGCGGTGGCCGGGAGCGGCCACTACACTCCAGTCTGGGCGACAGAGTGAGACTCCAACTCAAAACAAAACAAAACAAAAAATAAATAGTATTCTGAACAGAGCCAGTCTTTATATAATTTTCACATTTTGAAAGTGGGGGTCACTTGCAGCACTGTTGTAAGGATTAAATATTAGACAATGTCCCTGAACTCAAGCAGATTTTAGTTTTTTAGGGGAAATAGTATATACACAATGTCTATAACCCAAGGTAGAAGAAATAAGGGTCATAAGGCACACAAGGGGATTTTAAGGAAGGAGAGGTTAAATCAAGTAGTGGAAATCTAGGAGGACTCCATGTAAGAGATGGCGTTTAAGATCAGCCATGAAGGAATTTAGCAAGTGGAATTTGGCACAGGTGAAAGGGTGATTACAACACGTGAGAATGGGAACATTGGTCCAAGTATTTGGAATCATTGGAGTAAAGTCAGAAGTAGAAAAGAGTGAGCATGCTTGCAGGTCAAGTGAAGTCGTTTCGCTGGCCAGTGCAATACATACAGGAATTGTGGAACTCAAAGGAAAGGGTACTTTGGGGCCAGGCTGCAAAGGGCCTGGTTTGCTAGAGTAAGGCATTTGTCTCAAGCTGGTGAACAAGATATTGAAGGTTTGGTAGCAGGGAAGTGATTTGACCACAGCTGTGATTTGAGAAGGACCATTAGGGAGCTGTGTGAAAAGTGACGTGAAGGAGGTAGGAGAGAGATTGATTTCAGATGATGCTGGACTTTTTCTAGACTAAAGACAATGGGGAGTGGGGGTGTCAGAGCCAGGGCAGTGGCTGTGAAGGTGGTGAGAAGAGGTGAATGTGCTCAGTAAATTTATAAATTTTTTATTTAAAAGAACAGAACAATTTCTTTTCTTAAATAATTTATTGGCAATAAATTAAGAGTTAAATAGCAAATAATAATCAATGGTTAAAAACTCACAAAACAGACCAGCAAATAAAATCTTTGGTTGATACACCTAATCACATTCTACAAAGCACAATAATTCAATTTCAATAAAAAGGCATATGAAGAAGACCACTGATGCTATAGAAAAGAGGTGAGCATAATGATAAGGAGCTCATTCATTTGCAATCTTAAAATACTTGTTGGATGAACAGAGTTGTAGAAAGTCTGGATGCAGGGTCAACAGACCTGCCTCTGGTGAGATAATGACTTGAGTCCAGGAGTTTGAGACCAGCCTGGACAACATAGAGAGAACTTGTCTCTACAAATAATCAAAAAATTAGCCAGGTGGCACATGCCTGTAGTCCCAGCTACTTAGGAGGCTGAGGCAGAAGGATCACCTAAGCCCAGGAGGTCAAGGCTATGGTGAGCTGCGATCGTGCCACTGCACTCTAGCCTGGGTAACAGAGTGAGATCCTAACTCAAAAAAAAAAAGAGAGAGAGGGAGTGAGATCTGCTTCTTTGTCCTAGGTTTCCATCAACTGTCCCTGTGACCTCTGGAAGGTTACTTCAAAACTCCCAGACTCATTTTCTCCTGGTAAAATGAAAGAGTGCAATTAGCCCATCAAATGATCTATGTGAATCAATCGACCAGTGGTATCCATAGCAGACCAAACACTTACTTTTGTTTAAATAACAGAATAGTATAGTTGACAGAATGTGTACACTTTTCTGTTGAGCTCAGATGCCATCTAAACAAATGTACCATCCAGTAAATTATAATTTATTTATACTACTGCCATCATCAAGCCTTAAGCTTAAGACACCAGAGAAGGCTCTAGATTGATTTCTGAATTAGCTACCAGTCTCATGGATACCTTGTTAAGGTTTTAATCCACATATGACTATATTTCCTTTTGACAGTCACTTTTTAAAAAAAAGACCTAGGCCTTGCTATGTTGCCAAGGCTGGCCTCGAATGCCTGAGCACAAGTGATCCTCCCACCTCAATCTCCCAAGACTACAGGTGTGTGCCACCATGCCCAGTTTGACAGTCACTTTAACCTAACACAACTTGATATACAAAAATCCAAGCAAGCAAAAGAAATAATTTAGGAGGTTAATTGTGCAAAGTAACATTTTAAAGGTTTAAATTTCAGTAGAAAGGCCCTCTTTGGGCATACAGACCACAGCCTGAATAGCAGAAGGTGGACTCCTGGGTAGAACAGCAAAATCCTATATTCAGGCAAAGAGATGCTCTGTGCTTTCCTTGGCAACATATTAAAATGAAGATAATATAAAGATACCATAAAAAGTATTATTTTGATTTTATGCCAGATCAGAGTAAGTAATGTTACTTGACAACTTTCATAAAAACTTTGTAAGGTACTACCACCTGGTAAGTTGGGGCAAGCTTGTGTCCACATAAGTTTCTGGGAAAGAAATGCACATTTGGGGGAATGTCCTTTGGTCTCTCTGCTTATGTATTTTCCTGGACTATGGTGGGTCCTTGGGGTTTACGGAATACAGTTTAAATAAAGGACCTAGAAGGAAAATTTACTGTGTTACAAGTGCAAATGCTGTACAGAGTTTAATGCCATAATGACCTTTCAATTTTGGGGAAAAAAGTTTGTGAGAGAGTCTCAGGCAGCTTTCTTCTGATCACCAGACCAACAAGGCTCATTTCAACCTTTCAAAAGTAAAATATCTTCTTTCTGAGTGGCAGGAAATTTAAATTCCTCTATTGTGCATACACTGAAAATCCCTAATCTCAAATCCATCAATTTTCTACCTGTAGTTCAGAAGGTTTTTTTTTTTTGAGTTGGAGTCGCACTCTGTTACCCAGACTCGCGTGCAGTGGCCCCTCCTGGCCACCGCAGCCTCGACCTGCTGGACTCCGGCGATCCTTCCGCCTCAGCCTTCCAAGTAGCTGGAACTACAGGCACGCGCTACCACGCCCGGCTAGTTTTTGATTTATTGTAGAGATGAGGTCTTGCCAAGTTGCCCAGGCGGGTCTCGAACCCACGAGCTCAGGCAATCCACTCACCTCAGCCTCCCAAAGCACTGGGATTACAGGCTGAGCCACGGAGCCCAGCCCTGGAATTACATTTCTATTGTTTTCTCTAAATGTTTTCTTTAAACTAAGCTCTTTGTTAAATGAGTCATTAAATAGTAATGCTTGGATTTTCATAATTATAATTGAATTTTACAGGTCTTAAATCAACAAGAGCTCAGGCTGAGTGAAAAGTTTTAATACCTGACATGTGAAATTGAGGGGTTAGCTAACTTTTTTTTTTTAATCAATATTTTTTTTATTATGATATTGTGGGGTACAGTTAAGGGTTAGGTATACAAATATGCTTCATTCAGGCACCCTTGTTGATAAGAGGTGTCTCCCCATCCCCAGCTAACTTATTTTAACTAGCTCTTTTTCATAACAAAATTATGAATTCTAACTCATAAATTAACAAGTCCTTTCTTCTCACAGATGCAATCCACTATTTGACTTTAGAGATAACGTAAGTACAAATGACTCAGTACAAGTAACACTTCACATTTCCGTAGAGTTTAAAGGATACAGGCCTCTTCCACATACATCTGCTGCCTTCCTGTAATCCCCACATCTCAGAAGGGTCTTTTCTCCACAGATTTTCCCATGTCTCCCAGGCTGTTTTCTGCAGGAGCTGTCTTTTTATCCATCGATCTTAAGACTTACTTTGTTTACCCTCCATCAAATATGTCTCATTTTCCAAAACAAACTTTAAGTTCGGAGAGAAGCGTATTCTACTCATTCAGCTGAGATCCATTATGAGAAAATTCCTTTCTTATAACTGAAGACATTGAGTAAACGGTGATTTTCAAAACCTTTTTAAGGGTACAATTCGTTTTTCCAAAAATCTTATGCAGAATCTGGATAACAGACAGAGGCAGGTCACTCTGCCCGAAGCCCTGCGGGGTGGGTGGACTCCAAAGTGACATTCCTCATGGTCTCCTCCAGGTTCCCTGCAGCTGTCCCTGAGCCACCTCCTAGGAAGCTTCAGTTCATGCCTCACCAGTTACTATTGTGTCGACTCTAGGACATGTGAAAGGCTGTCCACAGCCAGGGAGTTCTGAGCGAGTGCTGACCTGGGTGATGACAGCCAGAGCCACACTATGGAATGTGGTGGCTTGGACTAGGTGAAGAAACCTGGTAGTTCTCAAGGAGAGTCCTGTCCTCCATGCCTGGCAGGTGGGGTCCTTGGGGGAAGAGCCCTAGAATGTTCCCTTGAGCAGCCACTCCCGTTTGTTGCAGGCTTTGCTCCCCCAAGACCTTGACCAAGAAGTTGATATACCTCATTGCCAGGCGAAGCGTTTCATTTTTGCTCAGCTTTTTGTCTGGAGGATGAGTGGGGATGAGCTTCCTCAGCTTGGCAAAGGCGCTATTCACATTCTGCTGCCTCCACCGCTCCCTGGTGTTTGTGAAGATCTTCCTGGTCATGTTTGAATTCCTGAGATGGGAAAGAGAAAGGGCCCCGGGGGCCAATATGTTATAAGAGGCCTGTTTGGTATCACATATCCTGCCGAGAACCTCAGATGTTAGAGTTCCTTCACCCAGATTTCAATTCCTCATTTGTAGGTTTTTTGAACAGAAAATGTGGCAAAAGAAAGGGGAGGGTAAACACAACACCCTTCAGCCTTTTTCTCTCTGGTTGTTTTGAAGCCTCTGGTTAACAGGTTGCTTCATTCCAATATTCCTAATACTTTCTTCATAACCAACCCTTCCTAATTGTTCAGCATCAGGTACAGTATAGGATTGAGTTCACATGTAAACAAAATATATATTTAGCCAATAGTGAGTTGGATATGAATCAACAGTGTATTATGGGTGCTTAGGAAGAAATATAGCCATGATCCTAGGTTTCAGGAAAAAAGTAAGACTTGGAATGCAGAAGAAGACAGTACAGCTCTTCTCTTTTTTTTTTTTTTTTTCCCGAGTTGTAGTCTCACTTGGTCGCTCACACTGGAGTGCAGTGGCCGCTCCCGACCACCGCAGCCTCACCTGCTGGGCTCCGGCGATCCTTCCTCCTCAGCCTTCCGAGTAGCCAGAATTACAGGCATGCGCTACCACCTGGCTGATTTTTTGATTTATTGTAGAGATGAGGTCTCGCTGCCCAGGCGGGTCTCGAACCCACGGGCTCAGGCAATCTACTCACCTCAGCCTCCCAAAGGTGTGGGAATTTTTTTTTTTTTTTTTTTTTGAGTTGGAGTCTCACTCTATCGCCCAGACTGGAGTGCAGTGGCCACTCCCAGCCACCGCAGCCTCGACCTGCTGGGCTCCGGCAATCCTTCCACCTCAACCTTCTGAGTAGCTGGAACTACAGGCATGCGCTATCACGCCCGGCTAATTTTTTTTTTTTTTTTTCAATTGTAGAGATGAGGTCTCGCCAATTTGCCCAGGCGGGTCTCGAGCCCGCGGGCTCAGGCAATCCACTCACCTCAACCTCCCAAAGGCGCGGGATTATAGGCTGAGCCACCAAGCCCGGCTCAGCTCTTCTCTTAGTTGGCAAACCTCACCTAGAGGATACAGTGTGTAAGAGCTGAAATATCCAAACTGGACCACATCTAGAGGAGGATGAACAGGGTGATGAAGGGTCTTGAAACTCTATTGTATGAAGAACAGAGGAGGGGATATTTAGCCTGACAAAAATGAAAAGACACAAGGGGCAGGTAAGGGGACCATCTGGCATGGATTCTGTAGAAGATACTTGGACCTCTTTGGGGTTGCATTGGGTGACCTCTCCAACTCTGGGATAGTAGTTTATCATCAAAGACTGCCAAACATTATGGAACCATTTTTAACTCTTGGAGACATAAGCCCCTTTTTTCAGGTGGCTTGGATTAACATGTGCTAATAGGAAAGTTTAGGATGCAGTAGCCCAGTCCCAGGCAGTTTGGGGCTCTTGGCTTACTGCTCTTAGTCTGCTGTCTGTACCAGCCTCAGTTTCCCTGGGCACTGGACCCCTTCTAGTTCCTCCAAAGAGTAATACATATCCCTAACTTTTGCACAAGTCATTTTCTGTGTCTTGGATCTCTCCCTCCCCCTTGCCTATTTCTTTAAAGAGCAGCGCAAGTTCTTCCTTTCCACCAAATCCGTCTCTTTAGGTGTCTTCACACCATTCAGCCATCAGTGGAGGCATATGCTTGGTGGTTAAGATCACAGGCTCTGGGGTCAGAACTCTGGTTTGGCTTTTGGCTCTACTTCCCTTAGCTGTGTGACCTTGAGCAATCTACTTCTCTGTGTTTCAAATGCCTCACAAGTAAAGGACAACTCCAAGTACTACCTTACTGCATCATTGTGAGGACACATAAAACAATTCATGCAAAGCACCTTAACTCAGTGTCTGGCATACAGTAAGTGCTCGATAAATATTAAATTATTGTAATTATGATCTCTATGAATAAAACAGAGAAAAGTAAATGTTTGTGGTAATTTATAATTTTTTTCCTAATAAAGAAGCTATAGTGCAGTAGATAAGCTTTGTTTCACTTCAAAAGAGTATATGGAAGCCGGGCTTGGTGGCTCAGCCTGTAATCCGTGCTTTGGGAGACTGAAGTGAGTGAATTGCCTGAGCCCGTGGGTTCAAGACCCGCCTGGGCAACTTGGCGAGACCTCATCTCTACAGTAAATCAAAAAAATTAGCCGGGCGTGGTAGTGCGCGCCTGTAATTCCAGCTACTTGGAAGGCTGAGGTGGAAGGATCGCCGGAGCCCAGCAGATCAAGGCTGCAGTGGCCGGGAGCGGCCACTGCACTCCAGTCTGGGCGACAGAGTGAGACTCCAACTAAAAAAAAAAAAAAAAAGAGTATATGGATATATATATATATATATCCACCATGCATATGCCTCCACTGATGGCTGAATGATGTGAACACCTAGAGAGACGGGCTTGGTGGAAAAGGAGAACTTGTGCTGCTCTTTAAAGGAATAGGCAAGGGAGGTAGGGGAAAATTCAAGACACAGAAAGTGACTTGTGCAAAAGGGTGAAGTTAGGAATATGTATTATTCTTTGGAGGAACTAGAACGGGTCCAGTACCCAGGGGAGCTGAGGATGGCAAAATACCTGGAAGGACTCAGACCAAACTGTCAATAGTGGTTCCTTAGAGGAGGACAATAGATTGGGAAAAGATAGAAAAGAGGAGATTTGTATGTTTTATTATATATACTTTGGTACTGTTTTGCATTTTATAAGGAAGTATTCGTTTATTATTTGCATCATAATATAAAAAAGTTTTAAATACTATGGGCTTTTAAAAAAACTTTATTTTATTATAAAGATGTGGAGTACAAGTCAGGATTAGGTACATAAGTAATGTATGTGAAGGTTAAGTCTGGGCCTCGGACTGGTCCTCACTTCCCCTGGTTTAGGATCAGAGACCCTTTGTGTGGTTACATGCCCCCCTCCTCCCTCTCTCCCCTGACAGCATCCCGCAACTGCTGATCCCTCCCTTGTGCTGTTGTGATCAATATTCAGGTATCTCTATGGGCTTTAAAGTATAAACACCTGGCTTTGAATCTCTGCTCTCAATTTCCTAGTTATATGGTTCTGGAAAAATCAGTTAACTTTTTAAAGCCTCAGTTATCTTCTCTGGAGAATGGAGAAAAAGCTATCACCAAGGTTCTTGTGATGATTAAAAGAGATGCACAGCCGGGCTCAGTGGCTCAGCCTGTAATCCCGTGCCTTTGGGAGGCTGAGGTGAGTGGATTGCCTGAGCCCGCGGGTTCAAGACCCATCTGGGCAATTTGGCGAGACCTCATCTCAACAATAAATCAAAAACTAGCTGGGCGTGATGGCTCGTGCCTGTAGTTCCAGCTACTTGGAAGGTTGAGGCGGAAGGATCGCCGGAGCCGGGAGCGGCCACTCCACTTCAGTCTGGGTGACAGAGTGAGACTCCAACTCAAAATAAAATAAAATAAAACTCAGTTTAAAAAAAAAAAGAGAGAGATGCACTATAAAGTACCTTGCACATGGGTGCTAAATTGTGTGAGCATTTTCCTCCCTATGCAGATGGGAAGTGTCATCATGCAAAGAACAGCATTTTTCAATCATCTATATGCCCCTGGGTCATTTCTGCAACCCAGTTCATTCTTTGTGGCCTTTCCTGCTTGTGTGTGGGTGGGAGAGTCCAGTGCTGTGCTGAGAACCCATAGGAAGCAGGAGGCCCAGCAGCCCAAGGTCACTGGATGGCTTCTGGCTCTGTCTACCAGCCTCTTAGGCCCACTTCCTCTCCTGTGGAAACACTCCCAGTTGGATCCACAGTCCTACTACAATAATATGCACTCCAAGCTTTGGCACCAACACATACTGAAACTATGAGCCAAGTATTGGACAGTAGCAGGCTGCCTGTGTTGATGTGTGAGAGGGAAGCACACAGGGACTGCGGAAACCAAGAAACAGCACCTAACCAGGCGTTCTAGCAGCTCCCAGGCAAGCCATTTCTCCTTCCACAACTGAAGGGGGGTGGACCAGAATTCCCAAAGGTCTCTTTCTGCTCTGAAATGCCACAGTGCCCTGCCCATTGCCTTTTATCTAACCTAAGTCATTTCTAAACAATCTGACCTTTGGCTCTGCAATGAAAATATGAGTGTCATCAGAACTGTACCCAAGTATACTTAAAATATAAAAGTTTGAACCTGAATCAAGGGAATTTTAAGATAGAAAGAAAACGATCAAGTTTTGTTCTCAGTGACAACTGTGGGAGCAAAGTTACTTTTAAGCTCCTCTTGTCAAAAAAGGGTTTAGCTCATTCACTAAGTCAACTCTCGTCCCATGGGGGGGTCTCTTTCAAGCAGGAAGGAAAAAAGATTAGTCAGGATAAACTAACCGTGGTGTTCTAAGAGGGCTCTATCCTATTGTATAGAAGCAGGCAGAAGAAACAGAAGACCGACTTCTAAAAGGTAGCCTGCCATCCTAGGAGATGCTTAATAATTCCTTGTTGATTTATCCTCAAGTATGTTACTTTCCTTCTCCACGGGGTAAAATAGAAATCAGTGATTTACAAGCTGGAAAAGCTCAAAGTAGAGGTCACTGGAAAATTACTGTAGTACTTATTAAATCAAAGGAAAATTGCATTTGGTATTTTTCCAGTTGCAAGAACTGATTGCTGCTAATCTTGATTTCAGAGTAATATAAGAGCTAAAAAAAATACACTAGATGCCACAAAATCAGAGAACATTTGATAAATGTCAAAACAGGGGTGAGGCATTTAGGTCACGCAGAGAATCAGTAGCAGAGTCTGTGTCACAAGCCTGGGTATTTATGCATTTACGTCACCATTGAGGACTCCTGCTGGGTCAGAGTTCATAACCTTTTTTGTGTCATGGACCCTTTCGCAGTCTGGGGAAGCCTAGGAACGGATTCCTTTTCAGAACAATGATCTTAAACATATAAAGTAAAAAGGCTTTGGTTCTGTTCTCAGAATAATGATCTCAAATGCATGAATTAAAATACATAGACACAGAAAATAACCA